TATTATTTTCATAATATAATTTTTAAGAGGTAGTAGGTCCATGGGGCTTTGCAGCAAAATGAGAGAAGTGAAGCGCGTTATTCATTAAATTTTTTTGATTATATTGTACGTATATTAATGTAGTTTTATTGTTAATAAAATGAGACATAAACGCGCTATAAAATAAAAGAAACTAGATTATTCATACATATAAAATACACTTTAATTAAAATAAATTTGTTTTAATAATGAATTTAGTTCTTAATCAATCAAATGATAAATAAAGCGTGTTGATCGTTTGCATATAATAAATTTAGATCCATAAATAATCAAATGAGAAGTTATGCGCGTTGTTCGATAACAAAAAAAACAAGTCGATGAATAATAAATGCATTTATTTCTATAATTAATCAAATTTTAATTTATATACTCACTGCATTTTAATTTACTTGTTTTATTTTATTTTAATTTTTTTTTAAAAAAAAACAAGACTTTTGAATCTTATTCTTTTGAACTAAATATATGTCGATCTTGTGATCTTAAGCTTAAACATGTCAAGTAAAAAGTTAAAAATTTTAAAAATTGTCAACAAAGGGAACATCAAGCCAGGTTTTTATTTTTGCTTGATGTTTCATGCAAATTTATATATTGGAAAAGTCTCACTTATTCAAATGGCTTCAGTTGTGGTGGTAGACAGTTATAATAGTTGCGATCATCTTTGAAGATAAAAATATGATAATAATTAACGATTAATATATATTTCTTTCTCCAAAATCTAACGTAATGTTTGATAAATATATATATTTTTCCATCAAATTCATTTGTAATATAAGTCCATAGTCGTTGCATTAATCCAAGTCAATCCATTTGAATTAGCAGCAGTTTTCTCATATTGGATTATATATAAAATGATACAAATTTATTTTTTATTTTTTATTATAGATTTTGCATGCTCTCTTTTTTAAAAAAATTATAAATGAAGTACACATTCTATCATAATATTCATATTTTAATTAGTGATCAATTTATTTGAATTGGAATAATTTAGGGATTAAATAGTTAATCTAACGGTAAAATTTATGTTCAAGTAGATAAGTAAATATTAAAAAATAATATTTTTAATATAATAGACAAATAAAAATAAATGAGAAATATAAACAAGTAGGCGGTGAAGATAAATATTCATGGTACTGGTCACCATCATTAAATACCACAATCTAACAACCTAATAATTTGTAACTATTAATTTATATTATTTCTATATTTATTAATAAAGATAAATTGAATATTATGATATTAGTAAAATAAATATTCTTAATTGTTCATTTTTTAGATTTGAATATACTGTCTAAATATTTAAATGTGTATTTAAATTTAAACATCTCAATCTTAAAACGAAAACAATGACCCCTATATATATTTTTTTATAGTTCAAGATTTAAATTTGATATAAAATTTATTTAAAATGGGGACCATAGAACATGGTTGTGCAATCACTATTAATAAAATATAAATTGCAGCCAATAAATTTGATAGCTAAACAACTATATTCTTCGTCAATTTTATTTATCGATAAATTATCAAAAGAATCTATTAGTAATGAGCAAGTTCCCATGTTATGTTTCTTTGCCCAAAACTCAATGTAATCTTTCATAATATCATCATTTTGTAACAAAACCCGATTACGATCGAAGTAATTAGGTCAATGTGAAAGCTAATAAAAGCAAATCTTGAAATACGTATCACGAGTATAAAGACAGATGAGAAATATATCATAACACAAATATAACGTAATTTAGTTACTCGACCAACATCTATAAAAGAGATGAGTAATCACCGTATAAATATGAGAGTACAAAGTATCGAGAGGAATAACCTCTCACCCTATTCACTCGAAATATAAAGAGGTTCACACAAATGACAACGTATCACTTATGTCCCACAAGTTATCTCATCTAACCGAAATTCTCAAAGCCCCTTGAACCACGTAATAAATGTTAATTAAGTTAAAAGGAAATGAGTCACCATTTATATAGTCCTAAATTTTTTTCTACGAGAAAATGACTGGCCAAATATATATGGAGCCTTTACGTATTCCTTTACCTATATATGGGTTTGATATTTGTTTTGTATTATTGGGAATCATTCTTAGGCTAATCATATGATGATGAAAAATCGACTCATTTTTATGAATCAGCTTATTAGAGAAACACATGATAGAAAATAGATTTTTTTTTTAAATAACATCGAAACGCTTTTTGATTATTTATGTAAAAATATTATTATTATTTTTTTCCAGTAATTCAATCAAAATATATAGAAAAATACTTTTTAACGAGAACTTTGAATTAAAAAATAGTAAGTATTTTAGTAGTGTCACAATCTAAAATAGGGAGAGACCCAACTAATAAATTGAGTCGTAAATGCTATTTTTTATTTATTGAAATTTTTAAAGCATAGTTTTTGCCCCAAAATAAAGGTAACTTTTTATTTGACCATTTTCTAATTAAATCAATAGTCGTTGTTGCCAAGTCAATTTATAAAAGGACTGGACCCTTATAGAGAAATTGATATATTACTGTTGACATCCTAAATATCTCTGTCAATTTTGATAGAAATTAATTCAAAGGTATTGAATTTCTTAGTAGAAATTTAAATTAAATCCATAGATATCACTTGCACTAGACCACGAGGTGGCTTTTTGACTATACGTCGGCGGCCTCGGTTATATTTGTATCAAAGTATAACGTGAAGAGTATATTTAAATAGAAAATATAATAAAAAATACAATTAAACTAATTTCTATAGTATAAGGATATATTTGACCATTTTTTATATTAAATGTAACTACTCCCTTATATATATATTTTATGTTCCACAACGTTATTGTTAGACCTGTTATGACACATGAATTCAGATTCATAAGGTTAAAATGAAGGTTTCAGGTTCGAGCTGTAGATATGGAGAAAGTTCTGTTGAGAGTGTCCCCTCTTAATATATACTGCAATGTACTATTCATATATAATAAAAGACTCTAACCAAATGAATTATTTTTTTAAAAAATAAATCATAAGGCTAAGAAGTCTTTACAAAAGAAACTTAACTTATTTATATAGGTATAAACTCTTTGTGATATTCATCAAATACATCTTTTAATGGTGTGTAGAGTGTGTTTAATTTTGTATAAGATAAAAATATTTTTCATAATTTGTTGGTCAAATTCAAAGATAAACCATGGGTCCTACTTAATATAATTACCTTGAGAAAAGAGATATGAGGCATTTTAAATGCAGACTAAAGACTAAAAAATTTATGCATTTTTATTGAATCATTGGAATTCTCCATAGAGGGCATGTTACCTTTAATTTGATGAACTATATTAGTAATATTTATTTTATATTATTATAATCAGTATCGATCTATTATATGTATTCTAAAATTATTTGATGAACCATATTAATATTTGTTTTATGTATATTATTATAATATAATATGTATCAATTTTTTTTATCAAAGTCAAATAGTAAGATATACGAGAAACATTTTAGTAAGATTCATTAGGATAATATCGTAAGGTTAAAACACAAGAAATATTAAGTGAGAAAATTATTTATTTTTCTAAAGAAAATATTTTTCTTTGGATCGTTCGGTTGTTGATATAATTTGTACATGTTCTAATTATGCGGGTTTGTAAATAGTATCACACATTAGATAACTTGGCGTGTTAAATTTTTATCTGAATGACTAAAACGCTATCAAACGTTGTACTTGTTCAATTCTAATTTAAGTGGTATCTTTCAATTTTGAAAGTCAAATAATTTTTTTTTAATAAGCTTGTTATATATTTTAGCTTGTCAATTATTATAACAATAATTTTTACATAATTTCAAATATGTAAATTTTATGAAAAAATTATAAATTTCATGTTCAAATTTACTCTATAATTCACTTCGTACGGCAACCAAATGACCCCAACAATTTTCCCTCCCATAAGCTTCCACTCTAGCTGATCCTTTTTTTTTTGGCTATTTGTAAAAAGAATAATAATAACAACAACAATAATAATAATAATAATAATATTGGTGTAACTAGCTAGTAACATGTCATGTGACCAGGAGGTTATATCTACGCAGGGACGGAGCTATCTTTGTCCAAAGGGTGTCAAGCGATATTCCGTTGTCAGAAAAGTATGTCGCATAGATAGGGTAAATTTTGATTTATCTCGATATATTTTGATGTTGACACCTGTCGGCACAAGATAAAGAGTTGGCTTAGTGGTTAAGGGAATACAAAAGCTCTCGTGGTAGATGTTCAATCCTGAATCCTCCATTGGTTGTCAGTGTCGTAGCCATACGGTGGTAAGGATGTCTAATTGGATATCATTCATCAGAAAAAAAATACTACGTACATAAATAAAATGATACACGAAATGAATAAATAACATATTTTGAATACTCTTAACATAACAAACTGATATTTTTAAATACTCTTAGTGAAATCCCTGGCTCTGCCACTACTGCTTCATATACGAAGTGTAATAACAACCTCTTACAAAAATGCACGTCGATCGCCCTTCTTCTCGTAAAACAAAAATGTTGTTTTCAACACTCACTAGAAAGTAGTTAATTCCTATAATAATTCAATGATTTTATACGCGTGATATAAATGTAAATTCAACAATATCAACTATTTTTGATGTAATATCTCTACTGTTCCAGCTCCCCCACAAAAGAAATATGACCAAAAAATAAAAGAAGAGCAAAATAAAGAAAAACTTGAGACTAAAGTACACACGTGTTTCAAGTTTCATAACCACGTCCGACTTATATTCATTTGAATCGCTAGTCGTTATAGAAACTTATAAATTTTAAATTCTGAATTCGACGCATCTGAGAATTAAATATGACGCACTAATTTCAACATCACTAATAATTTTTATGTCTACAACATGTTCTTGTTGACCCCAAGGGATTGATTGATTACCTTTGTGGTATATATATATATTTCTATAAGGAGTTATACAATTTATAACAAATAACTTATAGTTTCTAAAATAGTACTCAAACAGAAAAAAAAAATAAAATGGAAAGACACTTGAAGTCTAAATTAGCTCCAAAATTGGAAAGGAAATATGTGGAGAAAAATAGAAGGAATCATATGAAGAATTTATGTAATCAGCTTCATTCCATGCTCCCTACTCATTCATCTACCTCTAAGGTTAGTTATTATGCTTTCGTAATTATCGTCTATTAGATCAAAAATGTCCTCAAAGTTATTTTTTTTGGCTCGAAAATATCATATGTATCTCCATATGAATATTTAAATCTTAAATCCGCCTCTACATCGCATATATCCAATTGTTGTTCTCCTTTTCCCATAGGATTAATGATCACATGCTCTTAGCTAACTTATATCATTTGTGCATGCATGCATGCAAGCTCCTGAATCCGCCTCTGCTTATATATTTCAGTAACTTCGATTCGATTTTGTGTATACAATGATACAAAAGAACTACAATTCAAAACAGATAAACTTCAAATTCCTGAATCCGTCTCTGCGTTTTATATACTTCTTCTAATACAATTTTGCTTGTTGCAGGAAACAACAATGACAGTGCCTGATCAAATAGATGCAGCAGTGAAACACATTGAAACCTTGAAAATGAATTTAGAGAAGAACAAGAAGCACTTGGAAGAATTGAAAATGGGCCCAAATAAGGCCCAATCACTCAATCAAACTAATGAGCCCGGCCCAATCACAAAGTCACCACCTCAGATTGAATTCCATGAAATGGGCCCAAACATGGTCGTGGTTTTAATAAATAGCCTTGATAATATAGCCACTTTTAATAACATCATTAGATTGTGCCATAAAGAAGGTGTTGAGGTTGTGTCTACAAGCTTTAAACTCAATGGAAACTCTACACTACAAATTTCTCATGAACCTAAGGTTTGTATATTACAAATGTATGTTTGGACACAGATTCGACTCAATAGAATTAGTGGTCTAAAGTCAAAATATATTTAAAGAAGCTCATATGTCTTTAAATTTTATATCTGATTATGAAAGCGCAATGTATAGATGTGATGAGAATAACATTTGTTGTAGTTGTCAACTTCTTGTGAATCAAACTCAAACTAGATATTTTTAAACTAACATTTAATATTTGATCTATTTTAGGTACAAATCAATAAAAGTTCACCAATGGAATTTAAGGCTACAAGTCTTTGTGATAAGATGAAGGAGTTGATTTATGGACCATCTTGCAACAATGACATTGAATCAAACCAACATCTATGGGACTACATTATTGAATCTGGACTTATAGAATTTAATACAATAGAGTTACCACCAATAGAAAATCATATGAAAAATATTTATGAAACTCCAAGCTTTTTCTAAGTTACGAAATATCGAAAACCAGATCAAACCGAGAAAAATATTTGATATGTTACGGTTTGAATTGGTTTTTGTTTGATATTTTAAAGTTTTATCGGTATATATTAATCTTTTTCATTCTTAGTTTGTAATCTAGGTTGTTATTACCTTTATAGAAATCAAATTCTTTGCCTTTTACTTTCTAAGTATGATTTGTAATTTTTTATTTTTGTAATGTCAAGAATTTATTTCATGTTTTGTTTAATTCAAATACCATCAAGAATTAATATATTCATTATATATCACAACTAAGTTTTTAACTTATTGCACAAAAAAATTCATGCATGGTTATAAATTTTATTTATAATCCTTAGAAATAACTTATAGTTAGCTAAATCTAGATCATATGTATTTAATATTAATAAGTCTAATTTTTTCAAAGGTTCAATAAATGTTTACGCTATAACCCAATTAATTAATTAATTATAGCATTAAGTCCAATATAAACCTTTCAACTAAATCAAATATAATATAAGTTTTTCTTCTTTCTCACATCTTCTATTAATGGATTAAGGTTGTTCATTATTATAGCCTGATTTAAAAGACTTAAACGTCAAAATCAAACATTTAAAATATCCAAATCTATTGATCTTAAATATAAACTTAAAAAATTCATTTTTATTTAAATTGGATTTAAAATAAGAATAAAGAAATAATAAAAACGATTATATTATTCAATGTAACAATACAAGTAAGAATTATTCGTAAAAAGACAAAATTATGTCTAAGAGTCACCAGGGTAAACAATTTTTTTTAACAAAGCAATTCATAATAATAATAATAATAATAATAATAATAATAATAATTAAAAAAAGAATTACCATAACTTTAATTTAATTAAATAATATATCAATCATATGCCTTGAACTTTATTGATACAACAACATTAAATATGTAGCCAATACTAACTTATATTTAAATCTTATTTCAATAATTGATGTGACTAAGTCATAACTACTAACTTCTCTCATTCTGTCCCCTTTTGATATTTATCTCAAAATTCGATCAAATTTAAATTTGCGCTAAAAATTTTATATAATAAAATTAGATAAAACGTGCTTTAAAAAATGACATTTTAAAAAATTCAAATTCAAAATATATAAATTATAATTAAAAATAAATATATATTTATCGCTCAATAACTAACTCGGAACAAAAACATAACTCACCGTCATTATTTATTACACAAAGAATTACATAAATATAAAGTGGTCCATTTTATTTTATTTTCGTTGTTTTTATCACTAGACTCGATGTATTTTGACTATTGACGAAGAACCTTGAATTGGTCTACATAAAAATCTACTCCATCGTTATAGAACCAATCCTCTATTTACTAATTTAACAAATTAAAATCGCTACTTCGTGAGTGATTTTATCGTTTTGATTAAAAAAATTCATATATCATTTTAAATTTTTTGTTAATATTTTTCACCCTTTAGGTTTCGAATCTAATTCTTGGTTGGAATATTCTTGTTGTTACTCTATTATTCGGTTATATCAATCCACACGAAGTGACCTAAAACACAATATTCAACACTCAAATAATCATTTAGATGGTAGAAATAGTTATAGTTGACCGTATTACTAATAGTGATAGTTGACGATATAATAAGTAATGATAGTAATTGATACTGGCAATAATGATGGATTATAGTTAGCATCAAGGGCGGTGTGATGGATCGTTGGGATGGTAGATTTTAGTGAGTTAATACCTCAGATGACACTCAATTATGCCTTTTTCTTTCAGAAAGTCACTCAACTTTCAATGTTAATTCAAACGTCAATCAACTATACCATTTTCTCTGAGAAGGTCACTCAACTTTGAATTTTAACGCAAAAGACACTCGACTGTTAACTCTTCCCTTAGAAAGTCATTCAATTTTTATTTAATTATTTTTTTTTAATTAAAATTTGTTGATATTAATTGTTTATATAACAAACTAAAATTTTTAAAAATAAAAAATATCATTCAACCATTAAGTGATCCACCCATCTAACCCGATTCATGAAAAAATATAATATGACCCATTTTATTTTGCCGTTAATTCTAAATTATTCCCTAAAATGGATGTAAACTACAAGAGATTTACATCTTGTGTGAAAGATGTTGTCATAGCCTCGGAATATATTTCAATCCTGACAAAGAATAGAATAACTAATTCAGCATATGCTCTCACCATTATATACTGATATGGTAATGATATTGATGCAACATGAAATAATGTTCATTCAAATAAACATATTTCACAAGACAGTAAAGACTTGCAAGATAATATGGGTCATATTATATTTTTTTCATGGATCGGGTTAGGTGGATGGATCACTAAATTGTTTAAATGATATTTTTTATCTTTAAAAATTTTGGTTCGTTATATAAACAATTAATATCAATAAATTTTAATTAAAAAATAATTAAATAAATTGAGTGACTTTCTGAGGGAAGAGTTAACAGTTGAATGACTTTTGCGTTAAAATTTAAAGTTGAGTGACTATATGAGAGAAAATGATATAATTGAGTGACTTTTGAATTAACATTGAAAGTTGAGTGACTTTATGAAAGACAATGGCGGACCCAGTAAGCCAGACGCGGGTGCTCGAGCACCCATTGATTTCCGAATTTTTTTTGTATATATATATATAGAAAATATGATACATATGTTATTATAATTTAAATGAGCACCCATAGAAATAAAACAGTTGTGGGTGGGCTGATTTAAACCTCCGCAATAAGAGATGCGCGAAGCCACTAGCGAGGGTTTGAATTCCGCCAATAGCATTTTTTTTAAAAAAAATTTCTAGCGAACCACAACCTTTAAATTCTGGATCCGCCACTGATGAGAGAAAAAATCAGAATGACCATATGACGTGTCTTCTAGTGATGACCAATAGTAATATTAGTGCTAAATATGGTACTTGGCACTAGAATCAAAGTTAAATTCCAAATATCGATACAAGTATTAATAATTATATTATGAATTTATTTTTTGTGGTCACGGAGTTAATTGATGTGATAATGATTTGTGATATTTGTGATGCATGTCGACAATACAAAAGAGATTGGTCAAAATTGTTGACATAGTGTATAGTTAATAGTGATCACAAATTCTACTGTTTAATTTGCCCCACTTTTGTGCCAAATTTTCCTAGAAACTTCACATGATGTGTTTTCTTGTCAAATCTTTGTAATATTTGTTCTACCAAATCCATTTGCCTAAGTCAATGGATATATGCGACTTGAAATTCTAACACTATGTGAAGAAATCATAATAGATACTTTATTAAATAATACAATAAAACATTCACATTAAAAGTTTAAGGTCAAACAATATGTCAATAAGGTTTTATATTTTTGTATTCTTGATGAAGAATTAAAGTGTTTCTTCAAGAATATATTTGTGAAATAAATATTTTAATAGTAATATATTTTGAATTGATATTTTAAAAGTAATACCAATATCGAAGAGAAACTAATATGATTAGGATGATTTTCAAAAATCTAATTTGGTTGTATATTATAAAATAACCGAAACATTGGGACGATATAATTTTAAAAAATAACCAACTGAATCGTACTATTGACACCCCAGTTAGGTGTCAAGATCTAGACCATCGTGAATGGCAGCCACACTAGTTCTTCGGTCGGAAAACCGTTACTACAACCCAACTAACCAAAAATAACGAAAATTAAAACATTTAAAGATACAGAAGCACGTTTAAATGACAATAAAAAATGAAATCCTCATAAACTCCAAGGATTCAACTAAAACAATGAACCATAACTAATAGGAAAATTTAACTCATAGAACCTAAAAGTCATTATACCAAAATTCTAACAGTTCACAAGTCTAAGGAATAGGGATGCAATCCTGAAAACTAAAACATAACAATATCTAAAGAGTTAGTCTAAGTTCGAAAATAGTGGACTTAATTAAGAGAGATTCATACCAGCATGAAAGAATTGGCTTACCTTAGATTCGGTCACGCTCCAAAGTCACCTAACTGAGATATGTCATTAGCCGCATGAAGATGTCACGTACTCAAGAAAGAAAAAGCAGTGCGGTATCATTACACAACCACAATGTACTGATAGGATCACATGGCTATCCCGGTAAGCACAACATGTTTAGAATCACAACAAGGTAAACATAAAATGTAAAGAATATATATACACATTGGTTATCATTTCAGAGCAACATACAATCTTTCAATATCACAAGTAGATACAGAACATAGTTCAATAGTCCACTCATGGAATCCAATTCAATGATCCTCTCGTGGAACTCATACTCAAATTGTTAGTGTACTGGTACTTGATCCCAATTAGTGTGTCGGAACATGACACCCGTTTCAATATGTATGTCTATACATGACATCTTATGTCAATTGGTGTGTTAGAACGTATAACACTCAATCCATTCAACAAACCACAATCATAATTACAATGTACATTCTCATAATCATACTATCAATTGTTGATTCATGACATACAAACATTTATTCATACTCATTTGCATTAGGTGTGATCAATAGTGTAACATTCACATACACACATTGTATTACAATGAAGCAATTGCTAACATACACCACACAAATAAGAAATCAAACCATCACCTACCTCGAATCCCCTAAGGCAGTTGAATCTTCCCTTTCCAGATTCTTTCCGCTTGTTCTATGTCTACAAACAATTAATATATGCAAGGATCAATAAATAATGGCTAATTACCCAGATTATAATCAACACGATCAATCGCAGAACATACCTATGATCACAGTATCCAAATTAGGGTTTTTTCCACAATCCAAAACACTCCTCCAACAATAATTACCTATGAATTTACATTCTACGAATCGAAAAACGAATTTGAAAAGTAAAAACCTTACCTTTAGCCTTAATTATGGTAAAAAAAAAATCTATTAATAAGTCGCCCCGGTTTGTCTCCTAACTCTTAAGAACGAAGTTTGCAGAATAATGACGTTTTGAGGTTTATTTCTAACTTAATTTGCGAATCACGACTGGACCGCTATGACGGCTCCCATCCCGCCACAGCGGCCTCACCTTGACAGGAACAATATTTCCACAACGGCGTACATGGAACTAGTGAGTCGAATTAAGAGTCTCAAACTCCTATTTCACAACACACCT